GAGGCGGGACGAAGAACTGCGGGACGCGATCCGGGGTGAGGACGTTGGGACAGGCGCGGGAGGGCGGGCCCTGGGCGGGGCGCTTGGGAAACCGGCCAGAGGGCGCCCACCGGGCCGCGGGCTCCGCGGCGCCCACCCTGTAGCCAGCTTTCTCCAAGAGCCACATGCGGTGGGGTGGGGGTATGAACAACAAATCCCACAGGGCCGGGAAGGTCCCAGTCCGGCTTCTCGGGTGGGAGTGCTGGGAGGGGCTGGGCTGGGCGAGGAGAGACGAGGAGCCGGAGGTGGGTGATGCTGCGCACGGGCACCCGGCCGTGCGCCCGCGCCCTTGTCCCCAGGTCCTCGGAGCGTGCGGACCCCTATTTAAGTAGGAAGAAAGAAAGAAAGGCGAAGTTCGGGGGGCTGGGGAGGAGTGGAAGCAGCCCAGGGCCAGACAGCCACACTTTTAGATGCAGGCCGGAGTACAAACTCTGTCACAGGTATTCAAGACGCCCCACCCACCTGACGCTTAGAGGGCCCAGACACTTACTAGAATCCTAGGGCACTATTAAGAGAAATAGAATAACACACGCATCACCCAAAGGTCTGTAGTCACAAACACGGACCCAGAGTCCGAACCCCGCTCATAGACACGCTCCCCATGAGGGGACACTGCTGCCCTAGGCAGGCACACCCCCTTCTGCCCCGCCCACTCCAAAGACTCCGAAGGCTCTCCTCGAAGGTGGTCTGGTGCCCCTCAGGACCCCCTCCGCTGCCCGGGCGGCCCGGGCACAAGCTTCCTCAGACTGAGCCATCCTTTGGTCCTAGCCGCACCTGCCTCCTCTGGCTTCCCCGCGCCTTCTCAAGGCGCTCCTGTCAGAAGAGGACTCACTTCTGCTCCTGCTGACCTGAAGACACCCAGGACCGGTTAAAGGATATGGCACAGAATCCCACCTCTAGTGGCACAGAATCCCACCCTCCCCCACCCCCCTTTAGTCCTGACCTCCCGCTCCCCCGCCTCCCAGCCCTACCGCATCCCTCGTCTGCGGGGCGGAGCCGGGCTGTCGGCTCTCCCCTCCCACTCTCCACTCCTTTTCTCCCTGGGAAACCACCGAGCACAAAGGCAGCATTGATTCCCGGCCACCCCCAGAGCGCGCTGGGGAAGGCTCTGTTGCCGCGCGCTCACCGCACCCCAGCGTCAAGCCACCAGGAGCGCGATGTTCCGACCTTCTGCCCGGAGTCCAAGCCCACCACGGACTCCGTTGTGCGCCCTCGAGCGCAGGTCTCACCTGTGGGCCGCCGCTGAGTCCTGGCCTCTGGCCCGGAGGCTTTTGGAGCCCGAGGGGAACAGCTTCCTCTCCAGCTTGCTCCCCCAGTCCAGTCCTTCTGGGAGGAGCTGGCAGAGGCCCCAGATGCCTACGTCGACCTCCTTTCCTAGATAAACACGGGCTCTGTCTCAGAGGCCATCAGCCCTGCCTGCTTAACTTCTTCCTCCAGCTGGAGCCAGGTTTCTAGCAGCAAGCCAGCCCTGGGTCAAGGCTGGATCTGGGCTGCTGGGGCTTGAAGAAGGCTACAGAGAAGAGGGAGACTGCCATCAGTGGGCAGTGGCCACCATTCCTCTGTGCTGCAGTGGCCCCACTCCAGCCCACTCAGGGTGAAGCCCATAGTGGTGATCACACTAATGCCATCTTCTGCAAAACCCTCCTTGCTGGAATCCCACCTTGGCCCCCATTGCCCACTTCTGGAGCCATCGCAATATCTCTCAGGCAAAGTGATTTGCAGTGACCAGTTCTGTGAATTATACTGGCCCAGGGAAAAGAGGACAGGCTCGGGATTTCTGGACAAGAGACAGCGAAGACAGAGCTGGTTGCAACAATGAGTTAAGATCAGGCTGGCTTATGTCCATGAAGTATAGGTAGAAAAGAGAAAGGATCCAAGGACTGACTGAGTCCTGGGTGTTCCAACATTTAGAGATTGGGGCGAGGACCCCCCCAGCTATGCCAGGTTTTGAGGTGAGGTGAGGTAAGAAAAAGACTGGAAATTAACCATTGGATTTAGCAGTAAGTTATTGGTGACTTTGACAAGAGCAATTTCAGCAGAGTGGTGGGGGCAAAAGCCTGATCTGAGTGGGCTCAAGAACGAATGGGAGGAAGAAGAGGGCAAAGACAACTCTCTTGAAGAGTTTGCTGAAAGAGTTTGGGAGAAGTGGGGCAGAGGCCAAGGGAGAAGTAGACTCAAGAGAGAATTTTTAAATGAGAGAAACGATGGCATGTTTGTATGCTGATAAGAAAGACCCCATAGATAGGGCCGGCCTGTGGCTCACTCGGTAGAGTGCGGTGCTGATAACACCAAGGCCACGGGTTCGGATCCCATATAGGGATGGCCGGTTCGCTCACTGGCTGAGCGTGGTGCTGACAACACCAGGTCGAGGGTTAAGATCCCCTTACTGGTCATCTTTTAAAAAAAAAAAAAGAAAGACCCCATAGATAAAAAAAGAAAAAAAATAGGGGGGGGGAGGAAAGATCCAATAGAAAGGGAAAAAACTGATAATGCAGAAGAGAGAAGGGAAAAAAAGAAAAAAAATAGGGGGGGGGGGAGGAAAGATCCAATAGAAAGGGAAAAAACTGATAATGCAGAAGAGAGAAGGGAGAATTGTTGGAACAATGCTCCTGAGCAGACAAGAAGAAGTGGATGTTGTGCATAAGAAATATTTCTAGGGGTTGTCCTTTGCCTGCTGCGTGGACAGTTCACCCCCAGGCCCTGGAGAGAAGGTAGAATAGTGGGTAGAGGCTGGTAGGTGGAGAGATGTGGTGGTGGGAGCTTGTTCTCTTCTGAATTCTTCTAATTTCTCCATGGAACAGGAAGCAAGGTCATCAGCTGAGAGTGATAATGAGGGAGAAGGTGGTGATGGGGTTTGAGTAGAGAGCCAGGAATGGAACAGTTGTCTAGGAGAGCAGGAGAATGAATGGTCTAGGGAACTGCAGAATGATTGCAGGGCAGCATTATGGGCCCACTTTAGGGTAGTGATCATGACTTGAAAGTGAAACTGGAGAGCATGATTGTGTATTTTCCCCCAGCTGTGTTCATCTGTGCAGTGTGCAGGGGAAAAATGGGCAGATTTGGATTTAGCCAGGATTGTGCTCAGTCTTTGACCATTCAGTTTCTTGCTCCCTCCTCCCATTTTCTTCTCTTTGTGGATGTTAAATTAAGGTTGCATATGAGACTGCACACCACCCTGACTGTACAGCAGTGGGGTTGAAAACCGACTGCAGATAATCCACAGGCCGGCCATATTAGTTAAGGTCTGGTCAGAAAAATGGCAATTGCTGGGTGGTTCACCAGAGGGAGTTTAACACAGGGAACTTGTTATGAAGGTGTTGGAAGAGCTTAAATGGCAAACAAGATGGTAAGGGACTATCAGAAAAATGTTACTATTGAGACACAGTCATTACTTGAGTTGTCTCCCAAAGCAAAGAGAAGGGGAGAAATACCCTTGCTTCTCCCTTCTTCAGACCACCTTTGAATGTGACACCAGAGCCTTCCACATTCAGATGACAAAAGAGACTGGGAAATGTAGTTTGTGGGCACCAGCCCTCTGTGATATAAAGCGGAATAGGGGAAGGCTAAGGATCTGAGAGCAATCAGGCAAATGACTGGCAAACGCGTTGCCAAAAGTTGGCTTTATTGGAACAATAAGATATCTGACCTGGAAGGAACTTGGATGTCTCCTCACTACCCTCATTTTTGCAGAGCGGGAAAGAGACCCAGAAAGAAATATGTGCCCAACAGTAGTAGAGTTGAGACTAGAACCCGGATCTTCCATCTCGAAAAGCATTGTTCTTTCTTGTAACCTAAGGGTCTTCAGATTTGAGTAGAGCTGCTCCCTTGAGTGGGGACCCAGAGTGCTGCCTCCTCACCTCTCCCAGTGCCATTGCTGCCACTCCTCCAGAAGTTCCCAGGCAACCCAAGGGCCTTGACTTCCCTTCTCTTGCTGCTGCTATTGTAGAAGGACACATGGAGGACTGGGCATTACAGAGAGCTTCCCTGGGTCCAAGCCAGATGGAGGAGGCAGAGAGGGGACAGTCCTTTACTCCAAGTAGGCAGGCAACTGCTACAAGGCTACCCGGGCTTTTGGGTCTTGTTAAACGATATTTCTGGTGGTCTTGAGCGGTGGCCTCAGGCAGCACGACTTGCCCACCAGTGCTTACTGTGGGCTCTGGTATGTGATGTATTGGTGATAAACTGTGTCTTGCCACTCTGGCTCCTCACCCAGGGCCTGTAATGAATGACTTAACTCTGCAATCTCAGTTCCAGGAAGGCCTTAGGGAGCCCCTTCTTTAAGAGCTAGCGCTATGGTTTGAATGTCCCCCCAAGCTTATATTGGAGCTTCATTCCCAATATGGTATTTGAAAGGTGGGGCATTTAAGGTGATTAGATCTTGAGGACTATGCTCTCATGAATGGATTAATGGATTAATGGGTTAGTCATTTAATGGGTTATCAGGAAGTAGACTGGGGGCTTTATAAGCAGAAGAGAAGACATTACAGCATGCTCTTGCTCAACCTTCTTCTATGTGATACCCAGAGTCACCATGGGACTCTGTAGAGAGTCCCCACCAAAAAGGCCCTCAACAGGTGTGTACCTCGACTTTGGACTTCCCAGCCTCCAAAACTGTAGGAAATAATAAATTCCATTTCTTTATGAATTCCCCAATTTTAAGTATTCTATTCTAAGCACCAGAAAACAGGCTAATAGAGCTGCTATGAGTGACTAACATCCCCGTCTTCTTGAAGTGGTTGATCTTGCAGTGGCCTTGTTTGCTCTTTGGTTTCTCTTGGCACTTGCCTCAGACATCTGGAGAACACATATCCTTCGCTTCAAGCAGAATAAGCTGCCACATTTGCCTGGATGGCTTACTGGATTCCATCCCATCTACCTCTGCAGTAGCTGCATTCCAGATAAACGCATTATATATGGAATTCGGTTTGTAAATGTGGAGGAAGCAGCTCCCCTTGCTTCTCCCTACACATCTGCAATATTTGCCCTCCTGGGAGAGAAGAGGCATCTGTCAAAGCCCCAGACACTAGAGAAGTGTCCCAGCAGCTGATGACCTTATTTCCTTTACCAAGACTCCTGCCTACCCAGCTGTCCTTACACGGTCAAGGCTGACGCTCCCAGCCTGGCTCTAGGGCCTTGCCTGAGAGGCTCCCACCTCCATAGGTTTCCACCCTGTGCTTTTTTCTGTTAGAAACTGGCCCTAGTAGGGATGTGCTAGGATGCATTCAACCTATTTTAATATAGGAACTCAAATACAACTGTTTTGTTTTCTTTTTCTTGACTGCATAGGAAGAATGGAATATATTTCCCTTCTTCCAGGAGCATTTGAATGAAGCTTAGGCTCTCCTTGGCCATGAATAAAGAGCAAGCAGTTTTTTCAGCGTACAATGATTTAGACTCCAGGTTTAACAGATTTTCAAGGGCAACTGTGAAAGCACAAAAGGAGAAAGGGTTTTTATGTGAGTGTATGGGGGAGAGAAGAGGTGGTTGTCACAAGATTTCTGGCTATGGCCTCCAATACATCTCTAGATTTTGGAAGGCACTGGGTCAAGGCCCTTCAAACCCATGTCCACCTATCCTTTGCCCATCATTTGAGACTAATAGCTTAGGAAGTGTGTGGTCCGGCTACTGGAAAGAGAACGTGATCCACCTTCCTCCCACCACTGCTGAAGTTGTGTGCAACTCACTGACTCTGTTCCATGTCACAAAGAGTCTCATTCTCTCTGATCCTTTGAATCTCTAGCCCCAGCCCAGATCCTGGAATCTTAACTTAGGCCTGAAGCCAAATCCTTCACATACCAGAGTGAGTTTGGACATAGATTTTTTTTTTCTCTCACCGGCCCTCCTCTCAAACTAAGTCAGGGGCTGCTAGCTACTCACCAAACCCATTTCCCTTTCCTCTTCAACATATAGTTAGACCATACTTTATAGCCAATCTCCTGTGCAGTTTGGGGGAAAGGCTTGCAACTGAGTTCTGGCCAATGGAACCACTTTGAGGTCTGGCCCCCAAACACCTCCCTTGTGCATTCTCTCTCCTCTCATCTGGCAAGTGGATGCCAACCCCCAGGATGAATTTGGAAGTCATGTGTTGAAGATGGCAGAGCTTTTGTCTGTCAGGTTCCTGAATGACTCCCAGACACCACCAACTGAACTTTATGCATTCTCTCTCCTCTCATCTGGCAAGTGGATGCCAACCCCCAGGATGAATTTGGAAGTCATGTGTTGAAGACGGCAGAGCTTTTGTCTGTCAGGTTCCTGAATGACTCCCAGACACCACCAACTGAACTTTATGTGAGTGAGAATACATTCTATTTAAAATAGATTAAGGTACAGAGATTTAATGGCTTACCCATTTCAGCATTTGGCTTTACCATACTGAATACTAAAACCCTTTATGATACGGCCGTTGGAGCTCTCATTCTTTGGTAAAACCTCCCTAATCTTGACCTCTTCTTGAACATCTCCTCCATCTACTGGCATTACTGGAATTCTGGCTGTCCCAGGACAGGACACCACTTCTCTTGCAGCCCTCCCTGTCAGTTTCCCACCCTCTTCTACCGGCGCCACAGGAGGTATGGGCTCCTCCAGGGTGGCAGTTCCTGCTCCACCCCATTGTTCTCATGGCTGTGTACCAGCCACATTGCTCCCTTTCCCTCTTACCATCGTTCCCATCCAGCTTATCCGCTATTGCCCCTGGGTTTGCCCGCTGGCTCCCACCTTCCTCTCACCCTGGGCTGGTGCTACTCCAGATACCTGTTTTCAACCAGCAGCTGGTCCCTCAGCATGTCTTGGTTACATGTACTTGGTCAGTTTGTTTTCTGGATCCCCAAAGTGTCTTTCCCAAATCATCCCCCTTCTTCTGGGCCCTTCTTCTGGACCTCTTTCCCCACTGAGGAAGTCGAGGTGCTCTGGCGAGAATCCCCTCAACTTCCCGTCCTGCTCTGCACCCCACTTCCTTCCTTTTGGTCTCAGAGTCACACTGATGCTGTCCTGTGACTCTTGCATCTACTTGTGCTCTTGATCCATCTCTAAGACCAGAGAGCTGTTCCGCTGGATGACACCTTTCAATTTCCTAAAGGTTTCAGCCTCTCTCCACTAGCTCTTTCCAAAAGTTTACAAATACAGTAAAATCTCTTTACTTGAATAACAATAACAACAAAATTCCTAGAAAGAATCACCTACATTCATTTCCTCATTCCCCATTCATTTTTCCATCCACTATAATCTAGATTTCGCTCCCACCTCCTAAAATTGCTCTGGCAAAAGAAATCACCACCCTCCTCATTGCCAAATCCAAAGGCTTCTTTTCAGTTCTCAGCTTCCTTGCCTTCTCTTCAGCATTTGATACTACTGACCTTGTCCTCTTGAGGATGGTCACTCTTGTCCTGTTCTCCTTAGTGGGTCCTTGGTCTTGTGCTCCAGCCTTAAGCCTTAGTGCGACTTCGGAGTCTATCTTTGCCCTCTTTCCTTCTCCTCCCCTCCCCTCTACTCTGCTTGCCTCCCCTTCAGTTCCACTCTGCATAAGCCACTCCCAGGGGCTCCACATCAGTTTTTGTACTGACACAAATCGAGGCAGTAGTTCATCTCTCCTGAGCTCCAAATCACAACAGCCAGGTTCCTGCTGGTGCTTGGAACATGGTGGAAGTTCTATGGGCACTTCAAGCTCAATGTGCGTAAAACCGAGCTCATTCTCTACCCCTACCTCAAACTTTCTCCTTCTATATTTCCAAGGATACCACCTGGAACTCCCCAGACCAGAAACTTGGAGTCATGCTAGATGGCTCTCCTTCACAGATTCGCCATGTGCAGTTAGTGGCAAAGTCCTGCACTTGTTTATTTGCAGCATGTCCCACATCTCTCATCTCCACAGCTCTGACTCTTGCAGGCCCTTCCTGTCTCTAGTACAGAGCCCTGCAGTGGTCTCCTACCCAGTCCTCCTGCTGACCCCTGACTCCTTCCAGAGTCATCTTTTTAAAAAAGTAAACTTTGTCACTCCCCACCCCAAGCACTTTAAAGGCTCCCTGCTGCCCACAAGACAAAGTCCGAGCTCCATAGCAGGGTTCATGAAGCCATCCACGGCCTTCTCCTGCCCCTGCCACCGTCTCCAGCCATGCTCAACACCTGGCTGTTCTCCAAGTCCCTGTACTCTTGCTCACCTCTGTGCCTTTGTTCTTACTCTTCCCTCTGTTTGGAATAGCTTCCCCTCCCCTACCTGCTTGCGGAACAGCACTTCATTTTGGAGACTTGGTTCAGGCACAGTTTCCTCTAGAAAGCCTTTTCTGATTGCTTTTGTAGGGTAAAATTGACCCCTCCTCCCTGGGGCCTGCACTGCACTCATGACGGAGCCAGGGCGGGGTGAGAGGAGCTTGATGGGACGCTCTGTGCCCTCGGCTCCTGGCCCCTGTTGTGCAACTCCAGGGGCCCTGCCCTTCACTGCTGCATGCCTGGGGCCTCACCCGGGCCTGGTACTTGGCAGGTGCTTAGTAAATCTCCTCTGTTGGAGCAGAATGGGAAGGTGGGTACGTGGGAGGACCTGGAAGGATTTTCATTTTCAATCATAGAAGGGTCTTGGGCTGAGAATGGGGCTGTGAGACTTTATTCACTCAGAGGAAAGTACCCTTTCCCTCACTTTTCCAGTTGCCTGCTGGGGACCCCTCCCTGCTCTGTGGCAGGTCCCAGGCAGGCAGGGCAGTCGGCGGTAGGCCCTCTGGAAGGTATAGTGACTGTTACTGGGATGACTCTTCTTCCAGCTGCAGCTGAAGGAAAACACCTGCAAGAGAAGGGTGAGCGGGGTGGTGAGAGCCAGGCCTGAGGTGGCTGGAGCTTGCCAGGGCGCTCTGAGCACCTGACTCCATGCCACCTGTTACCTGGATCCTATCCTGGGGTATAGCTGGGGTAACTCATATGTAGAAAAAAATCCTGGTGGCCTCTTGCTCACTTCATCTGTGTTTCCAGCAGGTGCCCAATCCCACCCCTATAAAAGCTGGACCCCAGCTTGGGCCTGGACCTTAGCATTCTTCCTCCCTCCCATTTGTTCTGGGGGTGTGTGGCAGCAGGGCAGGGCCTGGGGTGGAGGCTGAGGACTTCTTTACCTGAGGACTTGGCATAGACTGTCTGCTGGTCTCTGCTCTGGGTGATGCAGGACATGTAAAGCTTCTGGTCCTCGATCTTTTCTACTTCAACATTCAGTACAGCCAGAGAGCCTACAGGGATCAAGCTGGGAGAGCAGGCGGCTTAGCCCATCCCTCACGTGAGCCCGCCCCCCCCATGCCCCATCCTTCTCTTCATCCCTCCCCACCTTAACAACTCATAGTGGTCCCAAAGTCTGAGGGCAGAGGTTGCCTTCTGGCCAGGGACTGGAGGAACTGCTTGGGAATGGGCTGGGAAGAGGAGTGGTGGGCAGGGATCCCACCACACCCAGCTGGTGAGGTGGCCACCCCCAGTGACTTTGGCCAGTGACCCAAGGTTCTGTACTTACTTTTTAAATCTGATGTTGAGGCTTAGTGTGAACAGCCCCTCTCCAGCCAGGTAGGCAGTTTTAGAAAAGGTCTCATCCATCATGGCTGCCAGAGACCCTCCGTGGGCAAACCTGGGGGTGGGAGTGGGGGTAGGGAGCAAGGCTAAGGCTGGGACCACTGGGCAGCGTGCCTTGCTGGGCCTTCTCTCCATCCTGTGGTGAAACCACCCCCTGCCTCTCGCTTTCCCCAGACCCCTCCACAGACCTTCAGCTTCAGAGCAGCCAAATGGGAAGGAAACAGAGCTGCACCTCATCTGATCAAGCCAGTCAAAATCAACTGAGCTTTTCTCCTGTTTTGCTTTGGCATCTGTTATTAACCACTGATACAATTATTTTATTTTGCCAGGAAAAGTTTTTTTCTGATAATTAAAGGGAAACATTTTAGTGATTTATCACCTAATTACTGGCAGCAATTGCTGATATTTGGAAGGGTGCATGCACACAGGCACTAAGAAAACCCCTGAACTTTTTAATAATTGCAAGTTGGTCGCTTTGTGGGAGTGAGTGACACTAGGAACCATCTATTCCACCATCTTGACCAGAACTCACCCCTGAACTTTTTGACTTACTCTTTTTTTTTTTAAAGATGACCGGTAAGGGGATCTTAACCCTGGACTAGGTGGTGTCAGCACCACGCTCACCCAGTGAGCTAACCGGCCATCCCTATATAGGGATCCGAACCCATGGCCTTGGTGTTATCAGCACCGCGCTCTCCCGAGTGAGCCACGGGCCAGCCCTTGACTTACTCTTTGAAGCACGACCTTAGGCCATCTCTCACCTTACCAGTCACTGCAGTCAGTGCTGGGCCCACACTTTCAAGAAAGGTAGCTCTCCCGAGTGAGCCACGGGCCAGCCCTTGACTTACTCTTTGAAGCACGACCTTGGGCCATCTCTCACCTTACCAGTCACTGCAGTCAGTGCTGGGCCCACACTTTCAAGAAAGGTAAATGTGAAATGTAACTTATGACATATAAAGTGCTGGCAAGACGGACTTCCTGAGCAGCACTGCCCGCAGAAAGCTGAGAGCCTTCTTCAGCAGGATGCTGCAAACATTTGCTTTATTTAAAGTGCATAAAATTCTCATTCTCACTTGTGCAAGCTGATCTTCATGCCAAAGCTACTTCATCATTGGTTAAGTTGGGGGAAATAGAAAGGCACCCAACTTTAGAATGCAGATAACACAAAACAGTGTCGGACGGTCCTCCTCTACCTCTTCAGCCTCTCCCCCACGAGCCCCTAAATAAAAATCAGCCTTGCTTCAGCCTCAGCCCTGCCTCCTTGGGGTTTTTCTCTTCAGAAGGGATGGGATCAATGCCTGGGTAGGGCTCTGAGCTATCACCCCAGTGTCTGCATGCACTAGTTTGGAGACCTATCGAGGATACCTTTTGGATGGCCAAGGCAACCAAGGGCCCCAGGAGGTGCTGACATCTATTTAGCATTCTGGGTTCTGTTTAGCCCCAGCTAAGTCCCTCTCAGGCCTCAGAACTCTAACGCTGCTCCTCCCCACTCCCGTCTCTCTCTCTTGCAGGAACTCCGGCACCACCAACAGCCTTCAGTGACCGAGGGAAGAGAAGGCAGATGACCACAGACTTGCCCTGGTTTCCCATGTGGATGTATTGTGGCCCAGGGCCACCCTGATTTCCCATGTGGATGTATTTATGTCCAGTGAGAGCTCCTCCCTAGATCTATCACAGGTTTGGCCCTGGTTTCCCATGTGGATGTATTTATGTCCAGTGAGAGCTCCTCCCTAGATCTATCACAGGTTTGGAGGCAGCAGAGTACAGTGTAGAGAGCAATGGACATGGAGTCCCAACTCCTGGATTAGAGTCCTGTGTCTGACCTTGACTACCTGTGCTACCTTGGGCAAGTTACTTTACCTATGTACACCTCGGTTTCCCTATGGGTAACACATGGGATTTGGGTAGATGGTGTCTGATAGCTATATTGTGCTTTATAGTTCATGAGCACACACACTTAGGCCCATATATATCTCTCATTCACCCTGGCAGGTGTTATTATTGCCCCAGGTTTCAGGTAAGAAGACTAAAGACCAGAGGTCAAATTGCTTTCTTGGGGTCTCAAGGCAAGCTACAGCAGAGCAGGACTGGAAGTTGGGCTCTCGATTCCAGATTTTGCTCTCTTCCAAGTGCACCACACCCTTCTCAAAGTGGCTTCTCAGGTCTCTTCTTGTCTGGAGAATTCTGAGACCTGATAAAGAGGCTCTCCCTTATCTGCACAATGGGGACTAGACCAGATAACCCAATATGTCTTTCCAGGCCTGGCACCGTGAGGCTGAAGCTCAGTGCCCCTCACCCCCACCCTAGCTCTTTAGAGAGAGATGCAGACTCCAGGGCCTAGTGGGTGCCAGACCCACCCTGCTAAGCCAAGCCCCGGAGGCAGTCAAGGGTGTCTCCCTGGCCCTGCTTGTGGCCTCACCCTGGGGCCCCCTCCAGGTAGGGGCCTGGTTGGAAAAGACAGATGGACTTCTTTTTGGATGGCTGGAAAAAGATGACATACTCGTAGCCTTGTCCTTCCACTTGGATGCACCTGGTGAAGATGCGCCAGTCAGTTTTGTCTAGGGAGAGATGGGCAATGTCACAGCTGGAGAAGGGAGGGTATGGGGGACATGGGGCCTGGTCGGGATGCAGTACCACAGTTTGAGCCCTGCCTCAGGTGCAAGGTCAAGGAGAGAGAACCAGAGGACACCCAGGCTCTGTTCCCAGGGAGCCTTCAATCTGGGAGCAGAGGCACAGTCCCTGTCCTCAAAGAGCTCTCTGTCTGGGGGTGGGGGAAGGGGGGAAACACTAAGGAAGTTCCCTGGCTGAGGATGGAGATAGGTTCAGGGCCAGGTCAAGTCTTTAAGTAATAACTTATGTAATTCACATATAATTCAAAATAACAATACATAAGTGCAGAGAAGCCCTGCTTTTTTCCCAAAGACAGCTGCACAACTACATCTTTTTTTGGAAATATTGAATTCTTAAAAAAATTATTTCAGTGTCCCTGCTTTGTTTGTGCCATAAACTCAAAGGCAGTCTGCCCACCATACCACCCATTCATCACTGGGCAGAAAGACCTCATGCGTGAATGAGAGAGACAAGAAAACACACACACACACACACACACACACACACACACACACAGAGAGAAAGAAGAAGGCGGCAACTCTCTCATCAGTCAGATCCAGTGGGTGTCTCAGGAGTGCTGCTGCAGCCTAGCAGAGGAGGGATGGTGTGCTGAGGCCTGTGTGGGTGAGGAGGTTCCAAGGGCTTTTATGGGGTTGGGGAGGAGGGCTTGGGATAGGATTTGAAGTGTAAGGGAAGAACAACTAATGAGAAGTCAGAAAGGGCAAGGAGCTGAGCTGGTAGTTCACCAGGAGGGACATGCTTGGCTGGGAGCCAAGGCGGGCCCGTTAGGGTGTGCTCTCTTCAGATGGGAGGAAGGGGCCAGAGACCTGAGAGAACACTCTTCCCCTCCACCTACCTGGAGCTGCAGCATGCTGGGTGGAGTTAGGCAGCAGGAAGAACTTCTAGGCTGAGAACTGGAAAGGAGTTTTGAACAGGGAAGGGGGCTGGCTGACCCACTGGCAGGCTCCAGGCAGGGTGGATGGCCCCAGGTAGGCTGGGATGTATGTGTGCTCATGGGCCCTCTTAGGCCCGGCCTTACCTGAAGTAGCTACCAACCCAGATGGGAGCTTGAGTCCCTGGATGTGGTCTCTGTTGGATTTGAAGGAGGGCAGTTTGATCCAGCCACCAGATTTGGTCTTCTCCAGAAATTCATGGTATAAGCTCAGCATGTCTGGACACCAGGTGGCATTGGGAAGGGCATAATCCTTCAAGTCTGTCTTCTCTGGACAAAATCTTGAGACCTGGGCAGGAAATATCAGGGGGACTAATTCTGGAGGGTGGAGGCTGCTTCTTCAGCTGTGGGACTTCTAGGTGGTCTGTTCCTGTGTTCTTGGGTTCTTCAATCTTTTCTGCCAGAATGTTGACTTGAGGGTAAGGCCCACCTTCCTTGCAGAGGGTTCAGGGAGCCCTGTGGGTGACTAGGCAAGGGGACACTAAAGAGCAAAGGAAGGGAGAGAAGAGAGTGGGGCCACCATCTCTAGGCATGCTGCTCTGTCGTGTTGCATTACACTTGTTCTATTTTAAAACATGTGAGCACTTCTTTGAGGCTGAGAACAGGTAGTGTTGGCCCCCTGTACCGATGGGGAACCAGAGGAAATATGGCTCAGGTGGCCAGGTTTTGGAGTGTGAGAGCTGTGGCCGGACTAGACACTGTCTATTCTAGGGGGAGAAGCCAGAGGTGTGGGCCATTTTTATAACCCCTCACCTTAGGGGTCACTGCAGCTCTGTCCACAGCTGTGGGCCTGCCTGGGCAGGGTGGCCCCTTTGAAACATGTTAGGGCCCCCGCAGAGGTGTGGTACCATGGCCGGGGCAGGGACAGCATGTCTATCTGTGTAACCAGGGGGAGTCCTCTGCAGCATCAACCGCTCACGCACCAATCACAGTGGTGGGCAGTTGCTTGCCAGGACCACAGATGGGGTCTTCCATCTGGGGATGCCCTAACTTAGCTGCAACAGTCAGGAAACACAGGAGGAAAGAGCTTGGTGGTGGCCACTCAATATTCAGAGCAGGATGCAAGTATCCCAATGGTTTTAGTTTTGGATCTGGGCTACTTGGTATCCAAGATCACCTTCTCTTTGCCAAATCAAATAGCTTCCCGAAACACTGCCCACCTGCCCTGGCCATGAGCTGGGAAGAAGAGATGTGGGGTGCTCCTTAAGCCCTAGGCTCTGGGAGAAAGCTGCCCATCTGGCTGATCTGGGAACTCACTCACCAGGGAGTCTGCGGAGGATCCAAATGCTGAGGCTGGGGCGAGCCTGGGCAGGATACCAGGGGCCCCAGGAGGAGCTCTGTGGTGGCCAAGTCTTGCTGCCACCTGGAAGCCTCTCCTTATCATGGCCGAGTGCTAGGACCCCAGTCCTGCTTGGATCGGGGGTGCTGGCTGCCTCCTGAGGAGGTGGCAAGGTAAGTGAGCGCTTCTCTATGGCAGCTCTCACCAGCCTCTCCTTTTTGTCACCAGCTTTCTTTCAGCAGCGAGTTTCCACAGCAGAGAGGCTGATTAGGCAAGGCTGGGCTGGTTCAGTACAACACCCTCAGATGCTTGGGGCCTTTAGCTGGTCCCAGAGCCCCACCCAGAGCTTGGGGAGGGGCAGACGTTGCTTGGGCATGAATGGGCAGAACTGCCTGAGTTCAGAAAGAAACATTTGTTAAAGGAGCAAAAAAGTACACAAACAAATAGTGTGGGATACTTGGAGCCTTGGAGAGTTGCCCTGGGGGCAAAACCCAAGAAAATTTCCAGAAAGACAAGGCAGGTCTATCCCTTGATTAGAGGGTGTTGGTGGAGCATTTGTGACATGTGCTCTGTAGTAAGACTCTAAAAGCTCTGGCCCAATTCTGGGGCTCAGAAAACAGCCTTGAGACACCCCCTTCCTCTCCTAAGCAAGGGTTGGCACAGGGAGGCCTCCACCTGCTGGTCCCTGGCCAGGATAGGAGTTGGGGATGGGAGAGGGCTTGAATGGGAGGACAGAAAATCACTTGGGAGGAAGTAGCTGAGCAAGGGAACTCCTTGCTTTGGGAAGCCCAGGGAGGGATGCTGGCAGCAGACAGTGCTGGTTGTGAGGTGAGGGTGGGGCAGTGGTGGCTTTGTCACTGGCAAGCCTGGATGCTTTGGGTGGGTGAGTGGGGAGGCGTGCTCCTCCAGCCTCCGCAAGTTTGTTACTGGGTCTCATGGCTGGCTTAGCTTCAGCGCAGCCATGTTGAGCCTTCCCCTCCCCCCGCCCCCGCCCATTTTCCTCTCTTCTCTGGGAACTGGGATTCCTCTCCTGGGAAGGGGTAAACGATACTGTTATCACCAAAGGAACATCTTGTGGGTTGCGTCTAGCAGGCTTTGGAGCAGAGACAGTGGCTAATCGGGAGCCTATGACATAATCGACCAGATGTCATCAGACCACAAGGACTGTGTCACCTTGCCTACCACTGATTTCAAAATTGCTCATTATTTTGAATCCTCCCTAAAAGTCTTATAACTCCCCTGCTTTCCTTAGTTCAGGAGAACTGATCTGGCTCAGTCTCCTCTCCATGGTAGTGGAATAAAAGCTATTGGCTGAAAAAGTGCCTGGCTTGGGTCTCTCTCTCTCTCTCTCTCTCTCTCTCTCTCTCTCTCTCCCTTTTTCTCCTTTTTGCCGAACCTAATAGTTGTGGACATTTTTTAGTGGCATTGTGTCTTCTATTGAATTAAAACTGCCAGTTTTCAATTAAAACTCTCAGTTTTTAATTTACTAAAATAGAGCATGTTCTAGAACTGTGCAAAGGTGGAATCATAATAATAATGGTAATGATAATAATAATAGTGAAGATTATGATATTTTGGCAGCTTCCAAAAGATCAAACTGACTTAATATGGATATTTAAAGGATTTGTCTTACGCTCTCTATTTGGCTGTCCTAGAAGAATAGAATATACGTATTTCCCCTCACCTCCTCCTGTGAAAGTTTGAAGTAAACTTTGTCAAGGACTGGGGAACCAGTTCTTTGATTCAGGCTCTGGGTCTAACCAAAGATATCTGAATTAGTTGCCAACATTTAAAAACAGGGAGTTTCATACAAAGCAGAAGGTCAAGGATTTCCAGATTAGTGGGAAGATCTGGCAACAATGTGTCTTCATTCCTGTGCAGCAGCAGGTGGCTGGAGCCCAGGCCCTGTGCCTGTGGCTTGCCCGGGCTCCCCTGGTACTGGGCATTCCCTCATTGCTTCTGCTGGCTCCATGTGTGGTTGATTTGGAAGACAGGACTTGAGGAGGAGACAGTAGCAAAAAGAAGAATCTCAGAAAGGGTAGATAGATTGAAGAGGAGTCAGGAGAAAGGGGAGTGGGGAGAAGGTAGGGTCCTCAGGCTCTCCTGAAGGCTGGGAGCTGATCCTGGCAAGTTGGCCCCAGGAGGAGAAAAGGGCTGTCCTCCAAAACAGAGTCAGTAGGTGAACCTGGGAAAGGAAACCACTGTTTTATTACCTGAGAGCCACTTGGGAGCTGGATTATCACCCAGGCACAGCCAGGCTTTTATTTCAGATTGGACAGCCAGAGGGATCTAAATCTTTATTGCCTCACTAGAGGAGTAACACCCTTCCTCTCCAGTTGTTCCCCAACTTTTGATTAAATCGATTTTTAAATATTTACATAATTATGACTATGTAACTTTTGTTTTCAGCCTGGCCACAAACAACAGTTCCATTTTCTTTCTTGTATAACTTATTTTCCTTGAGTGGATAATTACCAAGGTTCGGCTGGACGATGTGGTCCAGGATACAGGGTACAGGAAGGAGCTGACGAGGGGTAGAGGGATCAACCCTCATTTCTCAGCTGGGAGGGAACAGTGTCCAGGAGGCAGAAAAGGAAAGAAACAAGGATCTGGTGATGTCTGTGATATCCAAGCGCAGACACAGTGGGAGCAAGGGCATGACACGCTGAAGGTGATTAGAAAGTTATCTAAGGAGAACACCTGTAGGTGAAGGCAAAACCACGGGTGTGGCCCTGACTTAAGGTGGCAGGAGGAGAGTGGAGGAGGTTGTCTAAAGCCATCTCGGAAGAGAAAGATTAGGATCATGGAGAAAGTGCTCTATCCCCCCTTTCCAACTCCCTTTTCCACCATTCCACACATTTTGTGGATTCCTTCTGCAACACGGAGCCCTTCCTAGATGTGGGCTGAGAGGTCAGCTATCCAGGGAGGTGGAAAGGTACTGGAATAAGTCTCATTACAACATGAGCTTTGGCCACAACCCTTTTCCTTTTAGATGAATTTGGCTCAGAGAAAACAAAGAAAACTCAGCTAAAAGAAAAGAAGGCCTCTCCCTAGACCTGGACTCTCTGGAGAAGCAATTAGAAAAAAGAGGGAAGTCAGGGAGGTTCAGCATAGTTGAGAACCCCCTTGTATTCTGACTTAGCTTGTGGCCTGCCTGGTTCATTTCCAGTTTGGGACTCCTGTGTGAACGTTGAGTTTGGGGATCTCTCGCTGAGATAAGACCCGGACCCAGAAGTGCATCTGGGCCTGACCTGGCTGGTGGTCCACAGAAGAATCAGCAGCGGCGTGCTGGCAGGTGATTAGCAGTCTGCTGTGGGGAGGGGGTCAGGTGAGGGGTCGCTCTGATGTGTAGCATTTGCCAACATGCAGCATAAATATTCTCACCATGGCTGATTTCAAGCTACCAGTATGAAATCACTGACCCTGACTGCGAAGCTGGGAAGAGATGTACACGATCCGCCCCTGTAACCTGGTGGGAACTGGCTCCAGCACATCACTGCGCTAGTAACTTCTCTGTCTTGGAGTGAAGCAACGGGAGTAACCAAGGCCTTGATAGGTTCAGCAGATCAGTTCTTGGTCCCAGATGTAAACTCACTCCCACTTCTCTGTCTTTTGGGTTCCCTTCCCTCCTAAGACTGACTCTGCAGTAGTACTTAGTCTCTCCAGCCCGTCCTCCTTGCTGCCCGCAAACAAATTCGCAGGATATTTTTTGCTTAAAGATATTTACTGTTGGGCCGGCCCGGTGGCACACTGGATAGTGCGCCGCTTGGGAAGCGCGGCGGCGCTCCCCAGCCCGTCCTCCTTGCTGCCCGCAAACAAATTCGCAGGATATTTTTTGCTTAAAGATATTTACTGTTGGGCCGGCCCGGTGGTGCACTGGATAGTGCGCCGCTTGGGAAGCGCGGCGGCGCTCCCGCCCGAGGGTTCGGCTCCCACATACAGACCGGTTCCCGCTCACTGGCTGAGCGAGGCGCGGGAGCAACACCGAGGGTTGCGATCCCGTTGCCGGTCCCCGGTCCGGTACGGGGGCAACACTGAGGGTTGCGATCTGTTGCCGGACACGGAAAAAGACAAAAAAAAAAAAAGATATTTACTGTTAATCACGAAGAGGAAAAAGGAGAATTATTAACATTTCCAGAAATTTCACAAAGTCCTCCTCATCTTGTGTGGCCCTGGGAGTCCCTCTTAGATAATTCTGGACATGTGGTGGAGCTCCCTGAGGCAGCTGGCTGACTCCCTGCCGTGATCACGGGATTCCCAGCAGTTGGAGGGGTTCTGTCTGGGCTGACTCCCGTCTGGCCTTTCTGGATGAGAAAGGAAATTCCCTAGATGCCATTCTTGAACTCAAATCCCTCCTGAAGACTTTGCCTTGTAGCTCACCATGGGCAATTTCTGGAGGGCTCCGAGATTGCCCGTTTTCTTGTTAGCCTGTAGCTGATTCCCAAATGCCTGCCAAGGCTGGCCCTGCCCTCAGGAAAGCTTTGTTTCCTGTCCTTCTCCTGAGCTAAGGTTGAGAGGCCAGCTGGGCAGGAGTGGCCGTGCAAAGCAGGGGTGGTGGGCAAAGCCGAGGGTGCTTAGAGGGGCAACCTGGTCTCGCTCCACTCAGGAGGTGCCATGATGGAATGCAGGCCCAGTTGCCAGTTCTTCTGATTTTTCAAGAAAAGCCAGTTCAGAAAGCTGCAGTGACAAATCCTGAAGGGTTTTGTGTGTGTGTGTGCGCGCGCGCGCGCGTGTGCTCAGGGTGAGGCTCAAAGGCCCTGGCCAGCCCCATACCTGAAATCCTCTTCTCCTCGAACCCAGACAATAACTTGAGAGGTAATACCTTCAAACCAGTAGGACAGCCACATACTTGTAGTGGCATTGGCACACCTACTTAATAGCTTGAGGGACAAAGTAAGGCCACACTCCTTTTAAAAAGCATATTAAATGACTGATACACCCCCATGACATCCTGAACTCCTTGCTCCCCTTAAAACTCTGAAATAGAGGTGTCACTAACTGTTGAACCAGATCAGGGGCCAAGCTCCTGAGCCCTCCAAATACAGGTAATGGTGATTTCAGCAGTCGCTGCTGGTGCCCAGGACCCAGCCCCTTTCCTCAGCAGGAAACTCTCTAGGGGTGGAGTGTGTGTCCACACAGGAAAATCAGATGGGTATGGAGCCAAGTCCCTTGGCCCTGATAGGGCATTGCCCCTGCTGATAGATTTTGATAAGGAGACGGGGGAAGGATGACAAAAGTGACAACCTTGAGTCCGAGTTTATGGAAGAAAAATTTCCCTGGATGCATACTTTTGCCAGGTAGCCCCTCCATGAAAGGTCATGGCTGGACCAGACAGACCGACCTCTTCACAGGTTGAGTTTGGAGGTGCTCCCAAGAGCCTTTGGCCCAAGTCCCTCATTATAAAGAAGAGGAAACTCAAGTTTTTTGAGGGTAAATGACTTGTCCATCATGCCTCATGGATTGCATTTCCAAAATATATCTTAATCTGTCCAATTCCCTCACCTCTCATCCACATATAAAATCCCAGGAAGGACTGTAATATTAGGTTATGTGCCTCCTCCTTGGATCAATGTTTGTGGTCAAGGGGACAAGGAGCTATGAGTGACCAAGGCTGGCCAGGGGCATGATTGGCAGTCCTCTCCCTGCTAGAATCAAACAAAGCTGAAAGGGCTGTCTGCCAACTCAGCATAGTTCTGTTATCAGAAGACTGGGAGGGAGGGAAGGTGCGCAGACAAAAAACAAATGCTGTCCATGACTGTATCTTAGTGATATGCTGGAAGGTTCAGCCCCAGAGATGAATAGAAA